CCATGGTGGACATCTCCAAGGTACTGACCACTGGGGCCTTGGGAGGAGGTCAGGGGAGGGGGGCAGGGTACAACTGAGGATGGAGGGCAAGGAAATGAAGCCGTGGAGGAAGACTCTCAGACCCAGCCATGGTAGCATAGGCCTGTAGTCCCAACACTGTGGAGGTGGCTACACTGTGAGTTCAAGACCAGCCTGGGCTACCTGAGACCCTGTCTCAAAAAAACAAAAAACAGGTGGTGGTGGTGTCCAACACTCCATTTAATTCCAACACTCAGGAGGCAGAGACAGGTGGATATCTGAGTTTAAGGCCAGCCTGGTCTACAGAGTGAGTTCCAGGACAGCCAGATGTTGAAAAGCCAAAACATAAAATAAAATAAATAAGAATAAATAAAAGAGGGAATCACGGCCAAGGGGCTGGAACACATAGGTGTGAGGTAAAGGTTATGGAATGAAGAAAAATGAAAAGCTCCCTGTATACATGTAAGACACTGTCCCCTTTAGACTTGAAGAAAAGAAGCACACAAAGAGCGGCAATGTTTGGTTTCTAATTATCTGTATTACTTACATGTGGACGGATATAAATTTCCCTCCAGGTGCAATTCTTATACAAATAAAACCAGGCAAATTTACAAAGCAGCTCAAACAGTGACCCAACTTAAAAAAAAAAAAATTAACGGACACTATGACAAGTGATGGCATTGTTTTAATGAAAGCCAGTCCCTGAGCGGTTGTAAAGTGGGTGCCTGGGGGCAGAATGGGTCCCAGGGCTGCTGACGCTCAGCCCTCTTTGCTTCCACCAGCGATGGTGACCTTGTACCCCTTTGGCATGGCTCATGTCGCTCTTATACAGTGGCCTTTCCCTTTTGTCATTAGCCCAGCACTACTCAAACAGACACCCTTGGCACCAAGGCGGTGGTAAACATAGTCGAAGACACAGGTCCCCAAACTACAGGACACGTCAGAGAGAGGGCAGGGTGGCTCGGGTCGAGAGCTCCGGCAGCAGGCTCAGAAGGTCGGGGTTGAGTGTGCTTGCCAGGCATGCATGGTGACCTGGGTTTAGTCCCCAGCCCTCCATAAACCTGGCAGGACAAGGCAGGAGGACCAGAGATCCACAGTAATTTGGTCTGAAGAGATGGCTCAGCAGCTAAGAGCACTTAGCTGTTCTTACAGAGGACCTGGGTTGGATTCCCAGCTCCCACATGGCAGCTCACATCTGTCTATTAACTCCAATAACACTGTAAATTAAATCCCAGCCTGCAATACACGAGACTCTGCCTCCCCTACAACCACCACCACCAAAGCAAAACAAAACAAAACAACAACAACAAGACTCACAGACCCCCCCCCCCAAGGATCTCAAGGATCCACCCAAGAAAAAGTAAGTCTGTCTGGGTCTGGAAGCCTGGCATCACCAGTTCCACAAATAATGAATTCGAATGAGCACATACTTCATTTCAGGACTTCTTCTGGTGGTGCCTCCATGCTGTTCCCTGCTGTTACCATGGGAACAGGGTTCCCATCCCCTGAGGCCTGTTTTGTTCTTTGGCATCTCAGGCTGGCCTCAGACTAACTCGTGTAGCCAAGGACGACCTTGAACTCAAGACCACTGAGTGCTGGGATTGCAGATGGGAATTACCTCGCTGGCTTTAAGTGGCGCTGGGGATCAAACCCACAGCTCTGTGGGTGCCAGATGAGAACTCTACCAACTGAGCTACATTCTACGCCTGTCCCTAGGGTTTTCTTGACGTTTATGTGCTCAAGTGTTGTGCCTGCATGTATGAATGTGTACACCTTGTGCCTTTGGATGCCACCAGAGGTCCTGGAACTGGGGTGCTGGGAACTGAACCCAGGTCCTCTGCAAGAGCAGCGAGTACCCTTAACCACTGAGCCATCCCTCCAGCCCACGCCCCCTGTGGCTTTTAAGAGACTCTTTTTTGTTGTTGTTGTTGTTTTCTTTGTTTGCTTTTGTGCGAGACAGGGTTTCTCTGTGGCTGTGGAGGATGTCCTGGAACTAGCTCTGTAGACCAGGCTGGCCTCGAACTCACAGAGATCCACCTGTCTCTGCCTCCCGAGCGCTGGGATTAAAGGCCTGCGCCACCAACGCCCCGCTTAAAGATTTATTTTATTTATTTGTTATGTCTTGTGCCTGAGTGCCAGCAGAGAGCACCATATCTCATTCAAGGTGGTTGTGAGCCACCGTGTGGTTGCCGGGAACTGAACTCAGGACCTCTGGAAGAGCAGCCAGTGCTCTTAACCTCTGAGCCATCTCTCCAACCCCTTAAGAGACTCTTAAGCCTAACAACAGCACCTGCCCAGACAGCTGGGGTTTGAGTGGCCCACGGAAGATCAGGTCGTTGATGGCTAGGAGCAGAGAGGCCTTGTCTGTGCCCTGCTGTCCCACTCTGTGGAGCAGACGGGGCGAGGGGGGGGGGTTTGTCCTGCGCCCTCAGTGCTCCCTTCCCGTCCCGCCCAGATGCATATGATACTGTGTGACCTGCAGCTGGGTCTCAGCACCTCCCACCGGGCCCTGGAGAAGAGAATCGACGGGCTGGCGGGAAAGCTGGACGCCCTGACCGAGCTGCTGGGCACCGCCCTGCAGCAGCAACCGCTACCAGAACCCAGCCAGGAAGCCACGTAGCTGGTGAGGGGGCAGGGACTGGGCCAGGAGCGATCCTGAGGATGAAACGGGGGACCTGCGGCCGGTGCCCGTGTATAAGGCCACCCTTTCCCTTGAGCTGTGTCACCTCTTAGGGCTTTGAGTTCAGAGCTGGACTGGCAAAGAAGGGAGACATTCATTCCTCTGGGCTTCTTAGTCTTGTGTGTGGGGGTGGGGTGCAGGGGATGGAGATGGAACCCGGGGCCTTGTGTATTCCAGGCAGGGGCTCTACCACTGAGCCACACCGCCAGCCCCTCACTGGGGGATTCTAGGCAGGGGCTCTACCACTCAGCCACACCCCAGCCCCTCACTGGTGGATTCTAGGTAGGGGCTCTACCACTCAGCCACACCCCAGCCCCTCACTGGTGGACTCTAGGTAGGGACCACACCACTGAGCCACGCCCCCAGCCCCTCACTGGGGGACTCTAGGCAGGG